GCAACAACTGTAGTAGCATGACATGTCAAAATAATTGTTTTTTGTTATGGGGCAAGCTGGACAAAAATAAAAAAAAACATTTTCTGCAAACCCTTTGGTACGCCCCGTATAAATATTTCATGCTCACAGATGGAAAGAATTTTTTGTGACCAAAACATACCGTAATGAAATATGGAATGTGTTAACTAAACATAGAGAGCATTATTATTTTTTAGTAGATTTGATCACAGTCATTTTAGTGAGTGCGCAGGCTCGCTACACTTAAGTCCACCCTCCCTGCCTATTCGTTTCCGATTTTTGTTTCTTTAAAACGATCCTAGTTTTCGTTGTTCTTATAGCTGCTTGTATTCGAATGGTGAGAAACGAACCAAATCGGGAAGAACGTACTTAAAATCTACTTAATCTAAAATAGCACATCAAATTTATTTACAATTATATTGTGACTTGTTTTTCTTTAGTCGACGGCACGGCAGTTTAATCGAGTTTCTCCCTGAACTCAATTGTACTTTGATCGGTGTGTGTAGTCTTCTGTTAGGCTTCGTAAATGGACTAGAATTCATGCTCAACACTACACAGGAACATCGTCATTTGTGACAAAAACGGCTTAAATTGCAATAAAAAAGATTAAACAATGAAAAAAAAATGTTTAAGCCGTCTCTGACTTACTGACCCATATCATCTAAGAATATCAAATATATATTATATTGTTATCATTCAATTTGTCTCTTATAATTACCTGGAAGTACTTTGAAATATTTTATCACATGCTTCGCACATAATTTTCGTTTGAAACTTCATTCAGAACCTCGTAATTAGTGGAATAAATTAGTGGTTTCAATTACACTTTATACTTTTCAGTTTACGATCATTCACAATATTTAAAAAATCACAATTAAAATTAAGAGAATATCCTAGCAACAGCTTGCATTAGTCAGTTGTATCCATAGAGAAAGCCTAATATTTAGCTTATGAAACAATCAACTTTTGATTTCGAACCACAGTTTCTCTTGACGGAAGATAATCAAAGGCCAAAATGACATTTCTCGCAAATTTTGAAGTATAATTAGTGGAAAAGTTAAAAGTTTGATAACTTTTTCTACTAATTGAAAATGTCTACCACTAATTTAGACGTTCTAAATGCTTACATTGAAATTAAAAGAACAAACTTCTACGCTAAACGAAACTACTAATTGCGAGGTTCTGAATGAAGTTTACTCCAGTTAAGTTTCTATAGTTTATCTCGCATAACTCTTTCTCGTTTCAACATATGACATTATGCATGGCAGGATAAAGGTATAGCACAAATGAAATATCTAGGCAGTGGCAACAATTGTGTCAATAATATGAATATTTTGATTTACCAGAGATTATTTGAATATTTACTTTAATTTTTATCGCACTATTTTTTAATAAATATACCGCATAATTGAAGAAAAAACCGTGTCCAGGTTGCTTGGAACAGATGATCTATGTCAGTCCCTATGTAATTTTACATACAAAATGACAGTGATCTTCATTTCAAAGCCATCTCTGACGCAGTTTTTTTTTTCGATTGTATGGTATTTTGCCCAGTATTTTTTTTATTAAATACATTTCTTTAGTCCAAAGTTTCCACCATTTAGGAAAAACGTTACGTGAGAAGAACTATACTGGACTTTATCCTATAGGTTAAACCAAATAAAAATTAATCTTCTGATTACAACCAGATTATTTATGTTGAAACACTGTTTGATAAATAAATAGTATATTATTTTGTTTTGGTATCAGATAAACAAACTTAATGTGATTGATTCAAATACATGAAAAAGTGTAAAACTATTAATTAATGATATCTATATTTACTTGTTTTCGTAGTTTAAAATTTGAAACTTAATATTATTTGGTGATTAAATTATTAAATGTAACCATGAGAATCAAAATAAATTATCAAGTTGTCTTAAGCTGTAAACAAAAATATACAGACCGGACCACGGTAGTAGTAACATAGGCAGAACTGGACGAATTAGCGTATGCCCGTGCGCCAGATAAAAAGCAGGCGAAAAAATGCGATAAAATAAAAATAGGTCGCTATGTGATAAGAATGTTTCAGAATTTGTATTTATTCCTGTTTTAATAGCCAAAACGAATACGTAGATTCTCGCGACAGTTCTCGTGTAAAATTTATTTTTTAAGTAAAATAATGGAGGTTTATGAAGTTCGTGAGAAAATTCAAATTGTAAAATGGTATTTCCAAAATAGGTCTTATCGGGATATACAAACAATTTTTCCACAAAGTTTTGTAAACAGGTCAATTCCAACTTTATCTACTATATTAAGAGTTATTAATAATTTTGAAACACATGGGTGCGTGTCCCCACAATAACACAAAAAGCCTGATGTGTTGATTAATGAAGAACAGGAGTTAAAGCAAGTGTTCGTTTGTGCTACCGTGGATCAAAATCCCACGTTTTCAAGTAATCAAATTGCTGAGGTGGTTGCCCTGCACAATGCCCGTATTGTTCAAGGATTTTTGAACAATACTTTTCCCAACCGTTTAATTAGTGGATATGGAACTATTTTGTGGCCCGCTAGATCACCAGATCTTTCTCCCAATGATTTCTTTTTGTGGGGTTATGTAAAATCCAAAGTGTATGGTCATAATAGGGCTAATAATCTGGATGGGCTTCAAGTAAAAATACGAGAGGCTTTCCAAACTATTAGCCCTAATATGTTAGCCAATGTCAGACGGGGATTTTACGACCGCCTAGGCTTCTGTCTAGCACAAGAAGGTGGTCTCTTTGAACACTTGTTATAACTTTTTTTTTATTTAGAGTAATATTATAATTTTTTTGGGGGTTTAGAGAATTTATTTATTTTTAGTTTTGGCTTGTAAACACACTGAAATAATAAATATTTAAGTATTTTTATTTTAAATGTTACCTTAAGTGAAGGTAAACACTTAAAATGAAAATAATAAATACACGGCACTCCTCGCGTCATATTCCTAGTCTGTCACGACCGACCCGTCCAAGCACAACTGCAATTGCGTACTGCCTGACCAGCCGACTAGCCGGCAGTGACTCTCGAGTACGAACGCAAAACGGGTAAACGTAAATTCGTCCGGCAACTTGCTATGTTACTAGTAGCCTGATCTTCTCTGTATATCAGTGGAAGATTCGTGCATTTCGATAATAAATTCAAATTGATATGCGAAAATTATAACGCGTACTTTTGTTAATTTACAGGCAAATATATGCAGATCAGATTTTTAATCTAAGCTCTGAGTTATTTTTTTAGGACTTAAATGATAAAAAATATTTCGGTGAAACATTCTGATTCAACGTAAAAAAGTTATATTGACTTTGAAGCATAGAGGTCATAGTTGTATCCAGAAAATTTTTCATAGCTAGAAATTGTTTTTGCAAAAAAATGTTCGAAGCCTGTGATTTTACAAAGGTTCTTATCAATTATTATTTTCCTAATCCAAAAATGAGCGACAAAAATTTTTAATATAAAAACATTCTTTATGGCTGTAACCTTCTAGAAATATCACCACTAAATTTGAACACTTAAATGTTGAAATATCGATAAATTGTCATTAACAATTACTACAGCATGACCAATAAAAAATGACATTGTAGAACCATTCTATGATTTAGATAGTATCTGTCACATGTTTGACATCATAAATGTCTATTAATGTTAAATTTTATATACTAACGACTGGCAAAGGTTAGTCCTGGGTCGAGATTTCCATATGTAAGAAGAGTGCAATCATTTATAATGTACTGAACAAAGAGAGAACAGTACAAATGTTGCCAAACGTATGAAATAAATCGAGAAACTGTGCATATTGCTAAGAGACTCGGAAGAGGATTTAGCAGATTCGTCGCGGTCGGCCCAATCAGTACCTAAAATTCTAGGTTAGGTACATCATGCATTCGACTTCACGATTTAATTACGTCTCGCGATATTTTATTTCTTTATTTATTAATGAGTCCTAATTTTACCTATAGCTTGTAAATTTTTACGTGCAAGTTAGAAATACTTGCACTTTTGGTAAAAATAAGTGGCATTGAGTTGGTGTTTGACAGCGGTCGCGTTATTAGAACTCTGAATTCAAAAATCGATATCTCGAAATTTATGAAACAAACGATTGTAGTTTTTTTCAAAAACTTTCTTAATATTTCTGTTATCGATTGCTGAAAATTGCGATGCACTAAAAGTAAATAGATGTTTTTTTTTTAATTTTGAATGGAAAAAACAAGCCTATCGAATTTTTCTTATTTAAACATCTTGTAAAAGATCCGAACTTCAAAATAAAAAAGTTTCAATATTTAAAGTGGTTCTTGAGTTATCGCGTGTTATGTGTTAAAAAGTTGAGTTTTTAATACCGACCCAAAAGTAAGAGTTGCCAGCACGGTATAATTTATAAATTACAGAAAAAAATTATAGGCACACGACATCACTTTCATTTATCTAGACCGGATTGAATTAAAAAAAGTGTTTCATTTTAGCAGTGACATCACTAAAAGTCTACAGTAATGAAACTGTCACTAAGGACATTATTAAAAATACATTATGTTTTCTTTACGATGCTGAAGCATATACATAAATAAGGCATTCGGGTAATTGAAAAATACAAAAGTATGTATACAAATCAAATTAAGAACAGTAACAAAAATAGTTTATTTCTTCGAGTTACATTATTCTGCATTTTAACAAATCCTTACATCTGATATGTGTCCTATACGACAAAAAGATTAATCTAGAGTACTAGAAAGTGTCTAAACCCAAAAGAACTTATTTGAGCTAACGACCAGAATAGTAGTATCACTTCGCTAACCGTTGCATTCCTCCTTTCTCGGTAGCAATCCCCCGAGAAAGAACATTCTAAATTGTTTTAAGATCATAAGATTTGGAAACAGTCTGGGTGCGGCGACTAGTGTCATATCGATTCATCGTTTCGACTTAGTCGGTGCGAGGCAGATGTAACCCGCCCGGATGTCGAAGCCGCTTACCAAAAGGTTCATGAGCACGCTGTCGCTGGGTTGCGATATACAGGCGGCTTTGGTTCCGGAATTTAACAGCCAATTATCCTTGTTTTTGGGCCTGCCCCTGTGATGGTTGTTGGACATTAACTGTTGTAATAGTTCCGAAGACATTTTCTCTTTGGGCTCGTTTTTGGTTCGCTTGTTCTGGTGGTCGTACGAAGAATTGTTCGACCGTTTCAAACTGGACGAGCGGTCTATCTGTCCTATACTGTTCACTTCCATTTTTGGACTTAACTTTGTACTCCAACTTCTGTTTGTATCTAGAAAAAGAAAATATTGAGATCAATATATGAAAATAGAAAAAAAAAAGATAAATCTGTTTGCAGGGTTATTCACGGTGTGGTGTTAGTGAACTTATAGTAGAAATCTGTACTTTTTCGTAGCTATAGTCACTGTCATTTTTAATGGGTTACCAATAATATTTTTGTATCCTGGGATTCTACTTGTAATTCTAGACATGTCTGCTTTGAATAAAACGATTAAAGAAGACGAATACCGATTTGGTCATTTTAGAAGTGTGGTCTGTGGTCTGGATTTTAACGTGTAAGACTGAATAATATAAATGACCGGTTGACAGACAGAGAGACAAAATCAAAAGCGGCATGCAGTGTTGCCGGTTTTTTTACGTTTGTAGGAAAATTTGTGTAGAAAAAAAAACTATTTTAAACACTTTCATGTATACTACTGAAATGAAGATAATATATCTAAGCCAAATATAATCTATTACACTGTAGTAAAATAAGTAACTAATTGTGAAAAATAAGGTTCCAACCCTAGACGCAACATTTTCCATAAACGCCTACTTGTGCGGTTTGCACTTTTGATGCAAAATCCAGCAATACCGCATAGAAGAAATGTATCACCCCAACTTTTACATCTTTTTAATACATTTGATTTTCCATTAAGCTGCCTACATGAAAATGAACCTACATGAAAACTAAAATGACCAAATCGGTATTGCTATCCATGTATTCATGCATTAGAGACGAAATCACACATGAACATGGACGTCATGAACTCATTTGACAGTTGTTTGACGTTTCAATTGACACATTTGAATTTGATTTAAAATTTCGTGGATTTGTTGGATTTTTCTGAGCTGATTTTGTTTTTTATTATTTTTTTTACAATTGGTTTTGGTCACTATGTTAGCATCATGATGTTAATGTGGTCAGTGAAACGCGCATCCAGTGTTAAAAGTAAGTGTTTTGACTCTTTTAAAAACTCGTATTCTATTTATTCAATCAACAAAAAAATATCTCGTAGGAAAAATTTTACAGAAGCATTTTTAGATCTCACGCAATGCCAATTTTTGCCAAAGTTTTATAATTCTTTAACAAAGAAAAACTTTTCAGTAAAATCAAAAGTATAAGATGAAAGAACTATTATAAGATTATTAAAAAGACTTTTTTAGAAAAAAAAATAATAGCAATAACTTCTGTCAAAAAATTTGAACTATATTTGACTTCTGAACTGAGATTTTTGTACTGTAAGCGATAGAAAATAGTATACAAAATCATTGACGTAAATAAACAAAAATAAAACAGATAAACATAAATAATAAAGTAAAATTTATCTGGGTCCTGATATTATTTTTTTCTAAGTTAATAATATCAATATAAATTATTGATGACTATGTCCAAAAAATTAAAATTGGACTGAGAAATCAGGTCAACAATTTATGGAATATTCTATAATATGCAACACTTTAGTTATCTACAAGGCTTAATTACGAATGAGTGTAATAAAACGTGATAGCAATAAAAAAAAATCATGATTAATGGAATATTATAGCAATTATATAAGACAGTGTCTCGAATTAAGAATATAGACACTCCCCCATGTTTCATTTGAAGAAAATTTGAAGAAAAAAAGTTGCAAATCTTAGAAGTGTGTATAAACATCTTCTAATTTCGAATAACAATGAGAGACAAGTGTCAATATGTCATATACCGGGTGGTAGAAACAGGAAATCCCATGCAAATTTTGAACTGTTCAAACATTGGCTCTCCTATTAATTTTACAGCCAAGTCGTAAATAGGGTTTTTAAAGGTCTGCCTATGCTGAATACACATGCCAAGTTTAAGCAATTTTGGACAACCCGATTTTAAGTAATTTAAGAAGAACTGCATCTATTTTTAAATTAAAACTGAACAGGTAACAATGCAATATCAGGCAAATGTCGACATACCTTAAGTTATCAATCTATGATATTTCCTTTATCTATGTCTATGATTTTATCATTGTCAAATGTAATTTGTTGTGCTGTCTACATTACTACGTTATAGTACCTACGTTTAGTGTCCCAGAATGTATTATTGTAATTTAAAACTTTGTTCGACCGAGGCAAAAGCCTAACGTTTAGAAAATACAATCTGATGTTCACAAAATTATAGGATGACAACATAAGGTACGTTGGCATTTGCCTGGTTTTCTACTATTACCTGTTCAGTTTTAATTTAAAAATAGTTGCAATTTTTCTTAAATTAGTGAAAATCGGCTTGTCCAAAATTGTTCAAATTTGGTATGTGTATTCAGCATACGCAGACCTTTTAAAACTCAAAACAGCACAGTCCTAAATTGCATCGTAAAACACTGATTATTTGCGATACTGAACTTTAGATACTCATGCGTCAATATAAAGTGATAAGAAAAACATAGCGATAAGCTAATTAATAAAACAAAAAAAATGTAAATGAGGGGACGTAAATTAAGTAGCAAACAATTCTGTTTTCATCCACGCCTGAGCCACGCTGCGTCATTACTTGTAACTGACCGTTGTTCAGTAAATGTTTCCTAGGCAGATGTTTTTCCAAAGCAGTGATCCGTTACTTTGGAGCAAATCTAAACATCTCGGAAAAAGGGTCAACATCTCTTAAAGATATCGCCGAAAAAGCGAAACAAAGCTTATCTGCAGTTTTCAAAATTTCCTCAATAATATCAACAATAAGAAATCTAAAATAGAGTTTATAGTACCCAATAAACAAAATTTATATCTAAGGCATTTAGATATATTAAAAGCTCATTTAATGATGAATTAAAGCAAATGGTTAGTCATTTAGCAGAAAGAAGGAAACAAATAGAGCAAGGTACATATGGTTTGACCGTGAGACATTGCTAGATTTGTTCTGTTCGGTACCATGAGAACATGCCCAACAGCAGCAATGGGGGTCATTCTAGACTTAACACAACAGCACAATGTCATCGGTAAAGATGCCAATGCGACAATAAATAGAATGGTCACTGACGAAAACATTATTGAGAGAACTGTCAGGTCCGGAACACCCTCAAAAAGAAAATTCCTCCAACTCCCAGTGGATGACATACCAAGAATGTACCACTTGGAAGACAGAAACGTTTGCTCGACATGTAAAAGATCATACCATAACTTGGTATACTAATGCTTTCAAAACTAAAGCTGGGATAGGAGTATTTAGGTCGAAAACTAAATACTCCGAGTCAATGGGCACCTACCCCAGCATAATTCCGAAAGATGCGTACATTTTATCTTAGATAGGAAGTATTCAAAACCGGAAATAGCCATCTTATCCGATAATCAAGCAGCGTTAAAAGTGATCAACTTAGTAACCATCAATTCGAAGTTGGTTAAAGAATACCTAGAGAAGCCGAATATATTAGGCAAAGAAAATAAAGTCCTCCTACTCTGGATGCCAGCTCACCAAGGCATAGAAGCCAATGAAAAAGCAAACGATCTAGCTAGAAAAGGAGCAAACACTCCACTAACTGGACCAGAATCGTTCTGCCTTCCAAGTGGAAACCAGCTTAAAGCGGAACTCAAGAACCTGGAATGGGAATCCTCCAACGGTCTAAGACACTGGAATAAATTCTTCAGAACTTACGACCCCGAATTCGTTACGAATCTTTGTTGTCGAATCTTGGCGAATGCAAATTCTGTGGGGAAAATGAGGAAATGCCAGAACACCAACCATTCGTGCCATAAACTTTGGTGCGGCTGATGTAGGAGATGGAGAGCTGGCCTCTGTGAAGCCGTCTCAAGCCCTGAAACTGTATGATGAGTGAATAACTCGTTATAACTCAAGAAAGGGAGACAGACAATAGATCTATAACGTCACGGTGATTAACCCCCCTCCCAAACATTCTACGTTCATGGGTTCGTGTATTAAGACATTTAATTTTTGGTGACAGATACGGAATAAAAGATAAATACAAAGTGTCTGATATTACCTATATATCAGAGAGTTTCATATTAAATGTAATTTTTTTCTTACTCTAGGTATGGACACAAGAAGGTGTACCGACTGTATGTGAATAGAGAAATGGCATGGGAAATTGAAGGTTAGAAGACGAAGATTGGAACAACAGGAAAGAATGGAGAAATTGGTTGAGTGAAGTGGAAACAGCTTGGACAATATTTCTGACATATGTAAGTATATGATGTTATTCTCTTACTTTTTTCATTGTACATCTCTATGTTGCTGTCTTCCATCGTTCCCCCACCCCTATCGCTACTTTTCAGACTGTGTTTGTTCACCGACGAACTGAGCATCTGAGCCAGCGTCGAATTGTTCTCGGGTATTCGATTGGGGCTCAAATTTTTCTCGTTGTTATTCCACATCAGGTCGTTCGACATTAAAAGCGGTAAGTCGTCGGAGAAATTCATCGGAATATAGGGGGCTTTCATAACTAAGTCGTTATCGTCGTCCATTTGCAGGTTCATAAATGTCGACATTTGGTCTTCGTCTATTAGGGAATTGTTGGGGCTGCATAACGATGGTAAACTGCAATCTGAACTCTAAAAAGAAAGAAAAACACATTTTTTAGAAATATATGAAATTAATAGGACGAAGCAATCATCATCAACATTGAAATAGTTAAAAATACTGCGTTTTCGAATTAATGCGATTTAAATTCTTTATTAAATCGCATTTAAACTCCTTACTACTAATTTCAAATGTATTATATTGAATATTGAATACCTTCTAACAAAGCATTTTTTGGATTGAAGCTAGTTTATGACCTTCATATTTGATTTATAACCACAATTTTGTCTCATATTATTATGGAAAACGAATTTAAATATTGCCAAAAAATTAATCATATTATTTAATTTGTGGTGTATTTTAACGTTAGTGATTACAGCGACTCGTTCATTTCTACGGCTCGTTTGTTCAAAGAATCGATAGAATTGATCCATTGCTTATAATACAATTCACTCAACTGAATCGTGGTCAGCACAGATCCATAAAATTTAAACGAACGAGTCGTAAGAATTGAATCGGATCATAATGCGACTCAAATCGTGAGAATTCATTCATTGCTTACAACACAGTTCGTTTTGGTTTGGTTTGGTACAACGAACGTTCATATTTGCCAATAACTATCATCACCCTTTCTGTAGCATTGAAATAAATACATTTTGTGATTCTATAACATGTTAAAATAACAAAAAAATATTACGTTAATTACAATTCTATGCAAAACATTCTATCAAGGATTACCAAAAAAATGCCTTTTGATTTTTAGGACTTAGAAACACTCAAAATTAAAATGAGTCTTAATCATCTGCTGATGATGCTAACATCGTTAGCGAAACGCGCGTCCAGTGCAAAGGTAAAGTGTTTTGGTGTATTGTGGTCAATTAGTGTTTTATTTTGTTTTTGATGAGAAAATGTGTAAAAGAGTCGATACATTATGAGAAATTGAATAGCGTGTTTCGATTCATCAAAAAAGATTCGAGAAAAAAATTAATCAATAAAAATCATTCGATAAAAAGAATCGTAATGCCCTCACTATTCTACAGGTATTACAGCCGAATTTAGTATACAGGTAACCAAGATGTCCTGTACCCTAAACTCTAGACACAGATATTAATTAAGCTCAAGCTTGATTCATATCAATAATATAGACATCGGCGCATCTAGGAACAAGGAACAGCCATTCAATTACATAGAGAAGCATATCCTGTAATCAAGTCTGCAAATATGCACATCAGAATTGCACAGATAAATTGAACATTCTGTAATATAATAGTCCGGGATATATTCTAGATATTTTATCGGCCATAAAGATAAAACATTCTTGCAAAAGAAAATAGTTATATATAGATGGTTTAACTCTCAATATAATATGTTCAATTTTAATCAATATTTAATACCTTTGAATAAAAAGCAAGGAAGGAGTATAATGCTATTCATGGAATCGACATCGTTGACAGTTCTCTTTGACGTTGCAATTGACACATTTGAATTTGATTTGAAATTTAACGGATTTGCGGAGTTATTAACGGCTTTTTTGAACCTATGTTATTTATTATTTATTTTACAACTGGTTTTGTTCAAAGGTAGTAAATATAGAAGGATATTGGTGTCAGAACTTAAATTAACAGTATGACGTTATTGCGAATTACCTAAAAAGACTCTAAAATAGTTAGTTGTGAAGCGCGTGGTAGATTTTGGTTAAAAATCTAGAGAAATAATGGAATTCACTGAGAAGTGTGTAAGTAGTAGTATATCAGAAGCATATCTAGTATTTGGATAAGTAATAAGTACCATTTATGGACAACATAAAACAAAATGAACAAATTATTGAACCTACCCTACATTATATTTTTAGACCATTTAAATAAAATTAGAACGGCACTGATAAACCGTACTTAAGTCAAGAGTTTTTTGAAATGCTCCTTCCTTAAGAGTCTATTACGCTGTACTGTTCGGGTCGCTCTCAGGGGTCTGGTAAAGCGGGTGTGTGGCCGAAGGGAATATATATTATATTTCAGAAATCTGCCTAAGGCTTAGCCCGATCCTGTCGTGTTAAGCCACACCCAAAATTCCAAACACACGTGCTTTGATTAAGGCTTGCAGGGGCGGATACAGGAATTTATTTTAGGGGGGGCCCAAAATAAAAAGTAATGTAGAATATGCTTTTTAGGGCGCCATTTTTAACCCAAAAGCCTAATATTTAACACAATTTACAGATTTTAGGGGGGGCCGGGCCCCATGGGCCCCCCCTCTGTATCCGCCACTGAAGGCTTGATTAAGGTTTGCAGAGCTTCAGCATTTGCTATAGAATAGCGAGCAATTTGTTACAAAACCATATAAATTATATATCACTGTAATCACAAAACTTCAATCTATTTCCGTATTGTAACGATTTTTTAAATTATGTCTTTATTTTCGATAAAATTTAGTCCAAACATAAAGAATATTTTGTTGATGTTTGACCATCAAAACCTTAAAAATAAAGAAGTTGTCTAAAAATGTGCTACAATACGGATATAGTATAATCCTTTATATTTAATTTCCTTCTTCATTTGTCTAAAAATACGTAGCCAGTTTTACATAAAACGTTAAAGGCCAAAAGTTTATTTTGCTACTTTTTCAGACTAGTGAAATGGACTCTTTATCTTTTTATTCAATTTAATATTTAATACAAATATACATAAATACCTTTGATAAATTAGGTGACAGTAGCTGAGGCGATGAATCTCGATAGTCTCTATACGAAATAAATGGGTCCGAAGGTTCGTCGTTGAGTAAAGGCCCGAAACCATTGTCTTTTAAAAGTATGTCGTCCAACATGTCTGTCAGGAAAGGATGGTCGTCCAGTGGAACGCACACATCCCCTGCCACCGGTGCCAAATGAGTCAAATCGTCGGGTTCATCTTTCAACACTGAAACAATAGAAACACATATTTGAAAAAAAAATGTAGAAGCAGTTTAAAAGTCATTTTTGGTTCATAATGTATCGAAATATTATACATTGAAAAAATAATTGAAAAAATTATTAAAATATTATACATTGAAAAAATAAATGATTGAGTTAACCAGTGCTTAAATGGTCATCCAGTACCTGAACAGTGGAAAAAAGCATATATCTCCTCTATATATAAAAAGGGCTCAAGGAAGGATCCCAATAACTACAGGGGAATTTCGGTCACCAGCACTATGAATCGCCTCTATGGAAGGATACTGAGGAACTTAATTGAAGAGGAATACTCCAGCTACGAAGAAGAAGAGCAGAGTGGTTTCAGAAGCGGAAGATCATGTACAGATAATATCTTTGCATTGAAACAGATCATCGAGAAGAAATCTGCAATGAACCAGGAAGTTCATATAACATTCATCGATCTACAAAAAGCATATGATATAGTGCCAATAATAAAATTATGGGAAGTATTGCACGAATCAAGAATTAACGCAGCTCTGATAAAAGCTGTACAAAATCTTTACCATGGAGGAAAATCACAAATAAAAACGGTCAACGGTCTCTCAGAGGAAATTTCTATCACTAAAGGGCTCCGACAGGGTTGCTGTATATCCCCAACACTATTTAAAATTTATATTGCCAAGGCCTTACATCTATGGAAAAGAAATGTAACGGAATGGGTATAGAACTAAATGACATATGCCTATACACCTTGCAATTTGCAGATGACCAGGCCATAATTGCAAACGACAAAGATGACATGGAATATATGGTGCGGAAAATAATTGAAGAATATGCTAAATGGGGTCTCACAGTAAATACAGAAAAAACAAAATACCTTCCAATTGGAGCTAATACAGAAAATCTTATTTTAGACAATAATATGGAAATTTGGGCATGTGAAGATTACAGGTACCTGGGATCGATATTTACAGGAGATGGAACGGACGATAGAGAAATAAACAACAGAGTAATACAGGCACGAAGAGTTATCAGATGCATAAATGGCATTCTATGGAGCACTGAAATTACAAAAAACAGGAAATATAATATATACGAGACACTAGTTAAAAGCATATTACTCTATGGATGTGAAACATGGCGACTCACTGAAAGGAATAAAAGGAAATTAGAGACAACAGAAATGGACGCGACTAGAAGAGCAATGAGAATTTCCCGGAGGGATAAGATCAGAAATGAAGACATTAGACAACAGATGGGAATAGAGGGAACAATAGTAAATGATATAGAACAAAAACAATTAATATGGTACGGCCACGTTCAGAGAATGCACAATGAAAGAATTCCAAAACAAGTCATTCATTGGATACCACCTGCTAAACGAAAGAGAGGACGTCCCAAGAAAACATGGATGGAAGGAATAAGAAGGTCGATGAGCGAGAAAAATCTGACCGAAGATCAATGGGAAAATCGCACAGGGTGGAAGTTAGGCATCGGACAACGTACGTTCTGACCCGAATTTATATATATAAAAAATAATTGAGGTAAGTTTTTGCTATTTTACCAACTAGAATTTTGTCACTACTAGATCAAAGTGACCTGACGGCCATCATTATGACGGACCCTCATTATGACGGTTATCTATCCCCAAGATTTATCCGTCATTCAACAAGAAGAAATTAACGAGTGTTGCAAAATGTTACTAAAATAGATATAAGATAGGTGAAGCCTTTTTAACATTTTTCGTTTTGGAAGATATTTCCTATTTTAACATACAACAGTTTTTGAATTTTGTTTGTCTTCCTGGGACTAATGCTCATACAGAAAGGGTATTTGCCCACAGTAGCCAATAAGCTGTAAAGAGGCATAGAAAAGACACAATTATCAATTATATCTACGTTCTTTAAAATGTATGGTAATTACAGAATGTGGTATAACTGGTTTATACTACATTCTCTATTTACCATACATTTTAATATTACTGGCTACTGTAAGCAAATACCCTTTCTTTTTGTTAATTGACATAATTTGATGTCAAAAGGTTAAGTTACATTAAAAATTCTTTTTTATCTTGTAATTTTTATCTCTATATTACAGGACTATTATAAAATTTTACATTTAGTTAAATACTTGACTTCTGACACAAATAATTCATTGAATTTTGATAAAATAAAATATGTAGTAAATATATATAATAAATAATTAAATTGATAGATTTTTTAGCACAAATTATAAGCAGTTTCCATTGAAAAAAAATAAAACACCAGATATAATGAAAGTTGTAAAAATAGCAAAAATCTGTTCAGCTCGGACACAATTTTAGAATAGAGAAATATAGCTGGAACTTTACATAATAACGTTCGTCATTTCTAAGTATTTAGATTTAGATCACCTTCATCCATGAAAATATTGTATGAAACCTACTAAGAAATAATTCCTAACTTGTTAAATCTCAGTTTTAATGTCAACTACAATAATAGTGTCCATATTAAAACCAAAAATCAATGGTTTAAAACAAAAACTTTGTAATTAGTCTATAAACAACTTTGATAAAAGATATCGCAAATAATCTGCAATCATTCTCTATTAAAGGTCAGATTTTATTAAATCAATTAAAGATAATCACTTTATACTATTGCAACACTATTGCCATTACTTAACACTATTAGTAGGCTATTCAATTTTGTGATGACTTAGGTCATGTTGGAGTAGATAACATTGTGTTAGAGAGTAGATAACATAAAAAATGCGAGAAGAAAAAGAAAAAAAAAATGGTATAAAATTAGTAAAAATGTAAAATATAAGATTATTGAATTGAAATTAAATCGTGTTTGTTAAGTTTTATTACGACATATAAGAAAAAGTACGATTTCAGTATAATTTTTCTGTGAAAAAGTAACCTTTTTCCAGACAAGAGAGGAGAATCAACATCATTTCAAAATTAATATCACCAAACGGCACTAAAATTTTATCTCCTATCAGAGAAAAAAAACTTTTTCCGATCCCATTCAATTTTGCCGATTTCGATTTTTAAATTTTTTCTTTATAGAAGGACTCAACTCTGTTTGAAAATATTTTTTTTATTAAATTTAATAAGTACATTCTGTTTTTGTTTCATACTCATACTATTGAATTAGAAAACTCTCACTATTCTCGTAATGAGTCTAAACACTTCGATGACAATTTATTAATAATTAATTTTAGAATAGATTAAATAAGGAACAATAAATATAAACTTTAGATTATTTTTACAACAGAAAATTATATTCTTTTATCACACACCACACCTAAACATTATTATCATCCCTCTAAATGCATGTTTCAACAACCATCTTCGCAATACCAGTGATTGATTAAAACTGTTATACCAAATTATCTGCTGATGGAACCAATGTCCTTAAGCCGAACCTACATAATCTGTCCAACGTTGTAACCAATATTTGGCACAGGTTTCGACAATATTGCCAATGACCAGTGTGTCTCCTACTCGATGTGGCAAATGTTCATGCGTGTCCAACGTTGGAAGGTATTTGCCACATCGTGTGGGAACGGCTTTAGCAAAACAAAGTGATCGAAAATTGGTTGTGGAATAGTGTGGTCAGAACATCTGAATGAAAATAATTATCAAGCCATCTGTCATACATTAAAGACAAAAAAAAAACGTCATTGATACTAATTCAATCAAATATCAATTATTTTCAGGCTTTGTTTGACTTTTGATACTTTTGAGTTAATGCGAAATTGAGTGCATTTTGGCGTTGTGCTTTTCTCTCTTTAATTATAATTATTTCTTAATTAATTTATAATTAGTTTAATGAAAAGTGTCTAAATTTGGAAAGACATTGTGTCAGGACTGGAATTAATAATGAGCTTATTCTGGATCTTACAAAGAGACTTCAAAAATAGTTACTTGTGTAAACTTTCAGCAATATTTGAATCAATCAAATTGTCACTACCTTAAGTAATAATGTAAAATATTTTTGACTGATTTTAACTATGAAGAGCCTCATTCGAAACCTCAAAATTAGAATAATAAATTAGTAGTTTCAATTATACTTTATATGTAAAAGTTTACGATAATTTGCAATGTCTAAAAAATGCAATTAAAATTAATAGAATATACTAGCAACATCTTGCGTTAGTCAGTTGTATGTATACAGAAAGCCTAATAATTAGCGTATGGAACAATAAACTTTTAATTTCTAAAGCTTCATTCAGAACCTCGTAATTAGGAGTAAATTAGTGGTTTCAATTACACTCCATACTTTTTAGTTTACGATCATTCACAATGTCTAAAAAACACAATTAAAATTAATAGAACATCTTAGCAACAGCTTGCGATAGTCAGTTGTATCCATAGAGAAAGCCTAATATTTAGCTTATAAAACAATAAACTTTTGATTTCTAACCACATTTTCTCTTAAGGATGATAATCAAGGGCCAAAATGATATTCCTCGCAAATTTTTAAGTATAATTAGTGGAAAAGTTAACAGTTTGTTTACTTTTTCCACTAACTGAAAATTTCTACCACTAATTTCACGTTCTGAATGTTAATTATTACATTCAAATTAGAGGAACAAACTTCTCCGCTAATTGAAACCACTAATTGCGAGGTTCTGAATTAAGCTTAACCACAATTTTTCTTGATGGATAATAATCAAAGGCCAAAATGACATTACTCGCAAATTTGGAAGAATAATTAGTTGCAAATGTTAAGTTCGTTAATTTTTTCGACTAATTTAAGATTACTACCACTAATTTTGACGTTTTGAATGCTTACATTGAAATTAGAGGAAACTAATTGAAACCACGAATTTATTCCACTAATTTCGAGGTTCTGAATGAAGCTTTATACTATAAATATATGAAATAAAGTAATAATTATATTACCTTCAAAGTCCAACATTGTAGACACAACTTATGTAATTAAATGTTTAATCCTTTTAAAACTATATATCTCTCAAACACTTTAACGTAATTTTAGTATAGTAACGAGTTAAAAC